GCCCAGCTGTGAGATGCACCTGGAAGGAGGAAACACCAGTAACTCTGGACCTAAAAGGCCTACATGGGAAAAGGCAGCAATGGAAACTGACCCAGAACACCTGGCCCACGACTCCAAGTTTGTCGCTGGCTCAAATTCCTCAAGCAGTTAAAACATGCCACAAAGAACAGGTCTTTAGTTGTCTTCCACCATCCACCCACAGCCTAGAAGACCCTATACAAATCATTTCAGCTCCTGGAACACTGGCCAATTCACATAAAATACAGGTAATGAGCCCTATCAGCCTTCAAAAGGGACTGTGAAAAATCAAAAGGAAGAATAGGTATAAAAAGTTTTACAAAGTGCTTTAAAAACAAAGTGTTATTTACTTATATAGGGATGAAGAGATCAAGCTACAAGTCAAAAGGTACAGAAGTCAAAAAGTCTCTGAAAAGGAGAAGGAACCACATGAAAGATGTTACTAGAGCTGGAGGGCAAGGCAGAAGATTCTGACATCACCATGTGTTTAGAGAACAGCCTGGGAATAGGCCAGCTAAAATCCCATGGCATAAGCAGGGTCGGCTAAGGCCAGATGCTCTCACCTTATGAGAACTGAGGACAGTCTTCAGCTCCTCCAGGAGCCCATATGCCAATTTAAAGCCCCCAGGAGAGGACAGCAGCTTCCGAACAGTCTGCTGAGCCTGCTTGCGGACATGCCAGGTACGGCTCAGGAGCACAGCCACCAGAGCCCGGTGATACTGCCTGCAAGCACAGGGACAGATGACCCTGGGGAAAAGCCAAAAGCAGGGCTCTCCACAGCCAATCCTCCCACCTCCCACACACCCTATTTTTCTTAGGTTCTTGAATGGGTTCACCTCATTTGATCCGGGAAAAAAGTGAGCAAGCCTTACTTACTGGACTTTGTTGCCAGTGAGTCTATGCGGGTGGTCAAGAAAAAGCCTTTCTGTCAGATGCAACACAGTACACAGGGCTGGGAGGGGAGAGAAATAGTATAAGGGATTTTTATGTTTTTTGGAGACAGTATCTCACTCAATTGCCCAGGCTAGAGTGCCATGGTTATCAGCCTAGCTCATAACAACCTCAATCTACTGGGTTCAAGTGATCCTCCTTTGTCAGCTTCCTGAGTAGTCAAGACAACAGATACCTGCCACAATATCCAGCTAATTTTTCTACTTTTTAGTAGAAGTCTTTTCTACTAAGTCTACAGACTTTTGGTCAGGCTGGTCTCAAACTCCTGAGCTCAAGTGATTCTCCAGCCCTAGCCTCCAGAGCACTATGATTATAGGCATGAGCCACCATGCCTGGCCTGTGTACGTGCCTTCCCCCTCCCAAGAGTATTACTCTGTTGCCCTGGGCAGAGTGCTATGGCATCACAACTCATAGCAACCTCTTTGTCACAGCAAACTCTTAGGCTCAAGAGATCCTCTTGCCTCAGTTTTTCTATTTTTAATAGAAAGGGGGGTCTTCCTCTTGTTCAGGCTGGTCTTAAACTCCTGAGCTCAAGCAATCCACCCACCTGAGCCTCTCAGAGTACTAGGATTATAGGCATGAACCATAGTGCCTGGTGTGTATAAGTGCTTTTAAAAAAGGTAAGTGTATACATGCACACAACCTCTCCCAAAAGAGCTAGTATGAACTAGAAAATTAACATCAAAATGTAAATTTTATAGTGGCTCACACCTGTAATCCCAACTCTCTGGAAGGTCAAGGCAGGAGGACGGCTTAAGGTCAGGAGTTCATGCCAGCCTTAGCAAAATCAAAATTTTGCCTCTACTAAAAATGAAGAAAAATATTTCTTTGGTGGTGACACATGCCTACTATAGTCTCAGCTACTTGAGAGGCTGAGAGGATCATTTGAGCCCAGGCATTTGAGGTTGCAGTGAGCTATGACAATAACATTGTATTCTAGCCCATGAAACTGAGCAAGACCTGTCTCAAAAAACAAACTAAAAAAGATGCAGAAACTGATAAAATTAGTTATCTATAGCCAGAGGAACTGTGTGGCCAGAGATCAAAGCAGGTATATAATTTTCCGTGTAGTCCCTCTTGTATCTTTTATTTTCAAATTACATGAATAGATTTCCTACTCAAAAGCTAACTAAAATTTTTTTAAAAAGCAGGAAGTTACTAATAGTTGTAGCTCATTAATGGGATGTTGTGATTTATGAGTCAAAAACTCTTCAAATCACCAATTAGTGGCAGACACACCAAAGGCAACCTAGAATTTCAAACATACACTTAAAATTCAACTGTTCCTTTTCTGCCAGGATAGAAACCAGTAGTTTTTGTGTCTCCTGGTGGGGGAGTAGAGCCTGCCACACTCCACTAGAGCTTCTCAGCTGCCTCTTAACACAAGAAAACCTCTGAGACAGCACCAATTACCCAATCAGCCATAATTACAGCTAATATCACAGCTCTGTCTCCACAAATCTCCCAAGTCTCATTTCCTTACACTCCCCACAGGAATGAATTCATTCCCATGACAGCTGAGCTGTTGGCCACTGCACTTTGGTTGGTTTTTGCAGAACTGACTGGTCAGTTAGGGAAGTCCTCCCTGAAGGCCTAATGGGGAGACTTGGTCCCAATCTCAGGTTCAACTCACCATCCTCAGAAGCCATGAGCAGAAACTTCTCAGAAGTGAAAATCTGCTTCTTCTCATCCACAATCAGCTGCCAGAAACTGTTCAGTTTGGTCTCTACAAGAAACAAAAGGTCACCCCATGACACAGCTCACCATGTGCCCCAGGCTGACCTCCTCCATCCTGAAGCTGCTGGGGTAGGCTCTGCCAACAGCTCCTCCTCTGCAGCAGACAGACATGCTCCCCTAGCCGGGCAGGTCATTTCTAGGCTCACTACTCTTACTGTTTTGTGAACTAACCTCAATCCTTCTGGTGTCACTTCTATATGAAAACCTACAGTGGTTCCCTGCTGCCTACAGGAGCCTTGGTGAGCTGCTCTTCATCTGGAATTCCCACCTCTCCCAGGTGCCACACTGGAGTACTTGAGGTTTATATATGGTGGATTTCCATGCCATTCCCTGACTAGGGCTGTTTAGACTCACGCAGGGCCATTCCCTTCAGGATAGTAAAATCCTTCAGGTCTTCAGAGCCCCAGTTCACCCTTCATGAACCCCCACCCTTCATCCCCGTCCCCCAAACTAGAAGCAATCTCTCCTTCAAAACTGCTCTAATGCCACATTTCACCTTACATTATGGATGTATTTTTGCATTTCTCAATTCCTTTTACAAAGTAAGTGCCTTAAAATTTGGTGAAGCGAGGTCATGCTCATCTTAGCATCCCACCAGCTAGTCCAATGCCTTGGCATTTACACAGTAGGCACAAAACAGTTTATGAAGAGAGCTGGACTCCACATCTAACCACACGAATAAGTTCAAGTATGTCTAAGTAGAGAAACTGGGAGAGGGAATCGAAGCATGAAATGCTAGATAACTACAGAAATGAATGAGGAAGCTTGTTGTACTGATTTGGAATAAGTTCCAAGATATACAATATACATAGCACATATAATATAGCATTTGGCATGTAAAGCACATGACTTAGTGTGTTTGATTGTGCACTGTCTCTGGACACAAAACTGATAATACTGTTTAGAAAGGAGAACTTAGCAGTAGGAAGACATGTCTATGGGGTAGCTTTTTATGTTGTATTCTTTTGAATTTTGTACTGTATGAACATACAACCAACTGAAACAAAAAGTCTCGAAGCTAAATGCAAGTCAGTCTGGACATCATCTATAAGCCCATATCCCAGAATACTGGAGCAATAGCATGAAGGAGGACAGTGACAAAGCTGCCTGACTACCTTCCCACTGCCTGGTACAACCCTGAGATATTATCTGTGCAGAAGACAAGCACCCCTGTGGCTGATCCAGTGTAATAAGGGCCAAGCTGATCCTAAACATCAAGGACACTCCTTCCAAGGACTCTGTAAAAGGCCCTCATCTGCTACCACCCTGGACATCTCTGGACTCTTACCAGCCTGTGAGTCAGCCACTGAAAGCTTTGAGAGCAGCAAGGCTGCGGCAACCCCTTCAGTGACTGTGGGAACCTGAGTGCTTTGGGAGGCTGCCTTCTCCACTGTCTGGATGAGCAAGGGCAGTAAGTCCAGGGCCTGCAACAGTGTGTCACCTGTAGAGAGAAGACAAACACCATACAGGACATCTTGATCCTTGGGGGTGAAAGGAATACTTGAGGGATACTTACAACCCAACTGTGAACTAGCTTAATAAAATCCTTCAGTTAATTTGAGAAATATCTCAAAGAAATGAAATTAGAATCTGGGGCTTAAATCAAACGATAAAACCACAAAAGCAGAGGTAGAAGGATCCTTATTAATCCAATAATCTAGCTATTCATTTGATGGATGAGTGAACAGAGAGATTAAGTGAGGTGGCCAAGGTTACACAGCTGGTAGAGGCAGAGCCAGAGCAAATCTCAAGCCTATTAATTCCTATTTGATATCCTTTCCCTTTACAAGACAACCTCTGAACACAAACACCAAAACCAATCTGCTGACCCTATGAACTAAACCCATTAAAAAAAAAAAAAGAAATAGAAACCAGTTAAAACTATGGCTACATCTATGTTTTTGTAACTACTAAATGGGTACACAGTGGGTACTAGTTTCACAATGAAACTAGTATTTCACATAATGTTATAGATTTGAATCTAAGAAATGTTTATTCTAAAGGTTTATTCTAGGCTCGGTGCCTGTAGCTCAGCAGCCAGGGTGCCAGCCACATACACCGGAACTGGAGGGTTCAAATCCAACCCAGGCCTACCAAACAACAATGACAACTGCAAACAAAAAATAGCTGGGTGCTGTGGCGGGCACCTGTAGTCCCAGCTCCTTGGGAGGCTGAGGCAAGTGAATCACTTAAGCCAAAGAGTTGGAGATTGCTGTGAGCTGTGATGCCATGGTACTCTATCCAGGGCCACATAGTGAAACTATCTCAAAAAAATAAAAATAAAAATATCAATAAAGGTTTATTCTAAAGGCGCAGGGGCTCACACCTATAATCCCAGTACTCTGGGAGGCCGAAGAGTGAGGCTCATTTGAGGGAAAGAGTTAAAAAAGTAGGATACTGCCTCTAAAAAATAGAAAAATGTTAACTAGACATGGTGGTACACGCCTATAGTCCTGGCTACTCGGGAGGCTGAGGGAGAAGGATCACTTGAGCTCAGGAGTTTGAGGCTGCAGTGAGCGATGACGATACCACTGCACTCCAGCGTGGAAAATAGAGCAAGACTCTGTCTCTAAAAATAAATAAATAAATATAGGCCAGGCACATTGGCTCATGCCTGCAATCCTCACACTTAGGGAGAGCAAGGCAAAAGAATCACTTGAGCACAAGAGTTTGAGATAAGCCTGTGCAAGAGCAAAACCCCATCTTTATTAAAAACAGAAAAATAAGGGCGGCGCCTGTGGCTCAGGGCCGGACTCATATACCAAGGGTGGCGGGTTCGAACCCGGCCCTGGCCAAACTGCAACAAAAAAATAGTTGGGCATTGTGGCAGGCGCCTATAGTCCCAGCTACTCAGGAGGCTGAGGCAAGAGAATCACCTAAGCCCAAGAACTGGAGGATGCTGTGAGCTATGATGCTATAGCACTCTAAAGAGGGCAACAAAGTGAAACTCTGTCTCAAAAAAAAAAAAAGAAAGAAAGAAAAATCAGCAGGGTGTGGTAGTACACAACTATAGTCCCAGCTACTTAGAACACTCAGTGAGGAGAATCATTTGAACCCATGAGTTTGACACTGCTGTGAGCTATGATGACGCTATAGTACTCTACCCATAGTAACAAAGTGAAACTCTGTCTCAAAAAAATAAGTTTAGGCTCAGTGCCTGTGGCTCAACTGGCTAAGGCACCAGCCACATACACCTAAGGCGGCAGGTTCGAATCCAGCCCGGGCCCTCCAAAACAACAATAACGGCTGCAACCAAAAAAACAGCCGGGCATTGTGGCAGGCGCCTGTGGTCCCAGCTACTTGGGAGGCTGAGTCAGGAGACTCGCTTGAGCC